AGTGTTGAGTGAGTTATCACAGATTTCAAAAGATGTTCTAGATTTTCTGGCATAAATTGTTGCTTTCTTTCAAATAAAAATTTGTATATTTATTTTAATAAGAACAAATGGAAATTTTCCTTATTTTCAATTTATTTTATCAAAATAAAACCACAAATCTAGAAAACTTTAGCCAAGAAGCGTGTTCCCCACATATTTACATCCAAAATTGTATTGTTTACAACAATGTAACCCAATTGGAATTCTTCGAAATGCTCATCGAGTCAGAAAATAGTTCTTAAAGTTTTTGCTTTTCCTTTTCCTAACAAATTGTTTACTCGAAAATATCTAAATATAGTAAAAAGCATAGGGATATAATTTTATGAACGGTGACATTGAAAATTTTAAGGAATACGAGTATATTAGATGCTTTTTACAAGCCATTAAAGATGGAATTATTAAGTAAATAAGTCATTAAAAAGGCTCGTAAAAGGCCACGTTTCTCTCTTGGTTTTTTCGCAGAGAACTGAGAAAAGCAATTAGGGCATATATTTGTGATTGAGAATTCGGGGGGAATGGGACTGTAGTCTCTGGATGGGGCAGATGCTGTTCTGCCTTCGTTTAAGACGATTATTTCATTTAAGATGGTGACATTCATTTGCATATCAATGTGAGAGTGCTCTCTCCCCAATCCGAATGCCCCCGTATGTACGTATGTGTATGTTTTCGGCTTGATTGCTACGATTTTCATTACGTTTTACCGGATATTCCAATTTAGGTAAATGCGACGTTGCCAGCGGCAGCAACATCCAGCGAACTACAGCAGCGACATCGACATCAGTCCGAGCATGAAGCGGGATTAATGTGCCCGTGGCGACATCCATCAGCAGCCAGCCCAAAAACCAAAAAAAAAAAACAACAAAATAAAATAACCAAGATCAAGTGGAGCACGGCCAACCGTGGAGACAGTTGTCCCTGGGGAATTGCACTGCCAAGAATTCCCATTAAAATTAAATCCAATCCCCTTCCCCATTCAACATTGGCACCTGTCTGAGGATTCACGTGAAATTTCTATTGTTCCCATTTAGTGGCTAATTAATCTCACTTGGCTTGATGTAAACAAATTCTGAAGAATTTTGGCTAGCAAAATAAGGCTGCAAGTTTCTTTTAATAGGAAATTGTATCTATAAATACGGGATGTGAATCAGGGCAGGGAAAGTTCGCTATGTTTTGGAAAAATAAATATAATATTTTACTGCTATATTAGTCATGAAAAATGTACGACAAGATAAATATCTATAATATTCGAATAACACTTAAGTTATTATACGGTTAATAACAAAATTATATAAAATCCATTTTTAATAGGTTTAATGTTAAACAAACTCTAAATCTGTATACGTTTATATTTTAATAAAATGATTTTAATTTTAGTAAATTAATTTTATGGTAAAAACGTTTTATAAATATAATAACCCATGCTATTTAGGAAGTCCTTAATTTTGTTGTAGCTTATCACATTTATTTTTTAATTTATCATTTATGAATCACTTGGAAAACTGCAATTACACACGGAGAAAAACCAATGATCGACGATTCAGAAGATTAACGGCTGACGAACGGGCAATTTACAAGATCGTTTGCGCCGCGTCGGTCAAGAGTTTTGCAATCGAGCGCCACACGATACGGAATACAATCGAATAAATCAATTGAAGCGTTCGCAGCGCGCTTTTCGTTTTTTGAATTTGTCAAACGGCCAATAAAGAAGCGCAAAAAAATTAAGTTATTCAAAAATTGAAATCGCTGGCCGTCGAGCGTGGAACCGATGCCAATAAAATTTATAATAAATATTCACCAGCCAAAAAGAAATACGTCAGCGTCGAAGAGAAGGCAATTTATGTGCGCAACAACAATAAGATCGTTTGTAAACAATTAAAATAATTTGCTGTTCGACCAAAAACAAAAAATTTCAATTAAAAAGAGAGAGAGAAAGCAGCTGAAGAGCAAGGGAAAATAGCAAAGAGCGATGTGTGAAGAGAACTTAGAACTGAGAACGAGGGGAAAGCTTCTAGTTTATTTATAAAAAAAAAAGAGTACATTCTTTAAGTGAATTCTTCGCATTGCATACGTTTATGTACGAGTATATATATTTAATGAAATTGGAGCAAATTGAAAGACAGCGGGAGCAGCTGTGGAAAAATGTAGCACAGCAAACAGCTGACACGGAATAAGAGAAAAGAGAGAGGGTGGACAACACGTATACGCAGTGTTGTACCGCGAAAAAACATTTTCATTCCACCCACACTGTCGTTGCATTATTAACAAGAAAACATGTTTGGTTTTGAACAACTCAATTCGCTAAAATTTAAATTAGTCATGTCAACTAAACATAATACGTACATTATGAGTGGTTTATAAATATCACTCATTTTTTAGACAATTATTAGGTAGTTAATTTTATTTCATAATAAAAAATATATAAATTATGAAAGTTTTATTAAATAAAACGTAGAAATTCAAATGTAATATATCTCTTACATACAAAAAAATGATTCTTTAATATTCTAAGTAAGAGTTCTAGGTCAGGTTTTAAGTTTCTTATGAAATATCATTACCTATAAAGTCAAATCCAAACTTTCCCTGCCTTAAAATTCTGAAACGTACTGTTTTTTTTTTTGCGAAAATTCTCAGGAATTCTGGGTGCTGTCTGACATTTTGATGGATTTCACTCTGACATTTCTTATGTTCGCAATGTTAAATGCGCTTTTTCTCCCCCCTTTTTCATTTTTAGCATTTGTGTCGTCGATGTTTTTATTTATTTTATTCGGTTTTCCTCTTATCGCGATCAGCCAAGCGTTCGAATTTGTGCCAAAAAAAATATGCGATATGTGGGTGCACCACGAACTGAAACCAGGAGCACGACCAGTGGCACCACCGAAACCATCGAAACCATTGAAACCACCGACTTTGTGGCGCTGGCACGCACGTTTTACGAGCTTCGCTTTTTGGCCACTTACAGCACATAAATACAAAGTTGTTGACAAGCGCATAAAGACCTCGATGAGATCGTTAACTTGATGAATTTTCATAGACCCAATGAATATGGCCAACAATTAAAATTTAGTTCAATTGTTTTTCATTTGTCAGATGTCCGTCGTCGGCACATCGCTCGCAACCTGTTGCATTTGCATTTCAATTGCATATTTGAAAGACCCCAATATTTTTTTGTCTACCCCCTCTTTGCCGATTTTATCTATAACCCCACATTCGAAACATCTGGGCTTGGGGTTTTTCCCGTGTTCGTTCTTCAGGTGCTGTCGAGTAGTTTGAATTAATGGCATTTGCTTGCGAGGAATTCGAACAGATGTACATACATACTATATAAGCGAGCTATGCAAATGAACGGGCCAATGATAAGCGGGTGAACAATTTGGCACAGAGAAAGTCAGGTGTTCGATTGGGAAAATAGTTGGAATAATTGCTTGATAAATGGTATAAACTAAAAATATAAAAGTTATATAAATAAATAAACAAATATTAGAACTTAGAGTGTGGAAGGTAAACTCTACTTAGATACAGTTTCATAAAATCCAAAAAATGTCAAATAAAATAATAATATAAAAAATAAATTAATAAAACTTATCATGTTCCCAACAAATTCATGAAATTTTATAAATTTAGAACTTTCAAATATCACTTAATGCCTTTATTTTCCGGTCACATAAATCGTAAAAATCTCAATTGATTTTGCATAAATTCCAGCCGAAAATAGCCTAAATTTATACACGTTTTGTACAGTATTCACGCCGATATGACGGATTACCTCACGGATTGCTCTCCATAAAAATCCAACTTTATTCTCCTGAACGAGTCGTGTGCCAAGCCAACGATGCCAACGATATAATAACTTATGCGATCGGTACCAAAACACAAAATGACCAAGAAATAAAAGCAGTGAAATGCAATAAAATAAATCTATGCATCAACAATTACTGGCCAGTACAAAACAACATTGTATTGGTATTTGTTTTTGTATGTATATCGCAGTATGTTTTTTGTTTGTGTGTATGTGTAGGGCAGTGTGTGGAATATTAATTAAAGTTGCGAGCTTTGATTTCTTCCCAACGACTGGGATTCAGGCATACAAGTGTTTTGCGTTGTAAAAACAAGCGAAAGCAAAACACCATCAGCTTCGGGAAGAATAAGCAGACACTGAGAGAAAAAGCTGGATATATAAATTTTGTGAACTTATATTATTTTACTTCTTGCTGATAGTTTTTTTTCTAGGTCAAAAAAATCGAAACTTTTAAAAAATTGCTATGAATGTTATGATATCAATATATTATACGAGTTTTTTCCCAGTGCATCTCGCACAAGCGATGAAATTCAAATTCGAATTAAACGCATTCCAGGGAAGAGCAGGCATGCAAAACGCGTAGCACGAAGATCAGCAGCGAGATTAAAAGGGCGGGCATAAGGGGTTTCTCGCAGATTGCATAAATGGCAACCATTTGCAACAGCATTTAGCATGTTGCATTATGAAGCCCTCTTTTGCATTTGAGGCACGCATCTTGCATTTTCGCCTTGATGTTGATCGACAGTTTGACATTTTATGTCGTCGCCGCCTGTCAAAAGAACGGCGGTTACTTTTTGTCCTGTTTTCATTTTCTGGATTATTGCAATGCCATTTTGTGTTATTTTTATTTATAAAAAAGAAAAACTCACCGCTAGGTGGCGCATCAATCTTGTTGATGCGATCTTGATTGTTTTCCTTTTTTCCAGAGCAACAAAAACACAAATAGCAACGGTAACACAAACACACAATGGTAAACAAATGCGGAATTCCAGTCACGAGCACTTTCCTCGATTTCTGTTTTCAGTTTTTCCGCTGCACTCGCACAGTCCGAAATCTGTGTATATGTTTATATATATATATATATATTCGGGGAGGCTATGGCCAACCGATCCGATCCGATCCACGCCAAAACCAAAACGAAAATTAAATAGCCGCTGCTCGTTGGCTGCCTGTTTGCCGTTTGCCTTTCTGTTTTTCTGTTTTCTGTTTTCTGCCCAGCGGACCAAAGAGAAGCCGAGCGGATCGCTTTGGATCGCAGAGCAATAAAAATAAAAGCAGAGCAATCGACACTGGGGGAGGGGGTGGAAAAAGTTTGGCGCGCTTTGGCGCTCGTTTGCATACATGTGTGTGTATAAGTGCTCTTTAAATGAAAGAGAAAAATTCAAATAAAAGAGAGCAGCTGTTTTCTCTTAAAGGAAAGTTTAAGGACTGGAAAAAGCCACTTTTTTGATTGTTGATTGTTTTATTTAAAAGTTTTTTTTTTGTTTATGTAATTTTGGAAAACGGAAATAAATAAAAGTTGTTCTTCATTATACATTTTTCTTTCCTAAACTTTAAATAAATAATTATACCATGAACTAAAAGAGTAACCAATTATTTTGTAGAATTTCTACTACTACCGGCTTACGCCGATTATAAGCATTAATTCTCACCTCAAAACACCTGTGCTAATATTGATCTTTGAATTGGTTTAACCGCGAACACATTTCTTTGACTTATAATACTAAGATTTAGTCACATTTTTTTAGTCGTAATAGAGTGATTGTCCAAAATGGTGTCTTCGAGGTACATCCTACTATTCCTGGCCCTAAACTATCTTCTGGATGACACTGCTGCTGTGACCTGCGATGTGGCTCCCACAGATGCCGCCTGCATAAACTGTCGTGTATATCCCACCCATATCGAGTGTTTGCAGAGGCTTTGGTCGGCAACCACAACTGCAGCTCCTCCAACGACGTCCTACCACCAGGAGATCCCGAATTGGCAAAATCCGCAATTTCTTTAGCAACTTCTTCACGCGAGTTAGAAGTAAAAGTTGGTTCTAAAAAATCAGCAAATGTAAAGATTTTAAATAAAAGATAAAGATAAAGATGATAAATATTTTTAACGGGCTCCGCTATATTTAAAGGAATGTTTAGGTATCTCAGTAAAAATACAAATTTATTTAAATCTGATTTGTTTATTTTGATGTTTATTGAAACTTGTCTGAAACTGTTATTTTAAATATCCAAACTAGAGTGGTACTAGTCTGTAATCAGAGCTATGAAAATAAATATGACTATTGCTTTAGTTTTGCTCCCTCATAAAAACATACGCCAATAAGTATGCAATGACTTTGTGCTCCATGTGCACATTTTTTATTTTTTATTTAAATCTTAATTTATATTCTTTAGCTAGATAAATGAAAGAAGTTTTTCCTTATTTTCATATATTTATTTTATAGTTTTTTCATATTTAGCCCGATTTCTTGACCACCTTAACTTTCCTCGTGACTGTGTATTTCATGTTCTTAATTGTGACCTTCTTCCTGTTAACTGTTTTCTTCGTTGTTGCAGCAGCAATTGGTGCTGCTGTTGTTGTGGTCGTCGTTGTTGTTGTTGGAGCCACAGTGGTTGTTGTTGTAGTGGTGGTGCATTCATCATTTGTGGTATCGGTGGTGCAATCAACGCAATTCTCAGCCGTGGGATCATCTGTGCAGGTTACAGCCAGAGCTCCACTTAGAAAGCCGAAAATCGCTGTGATCAGGATAAGATATTTCGATGCCAGCATGGTAATAGTTAAATTGGCTCTTCTGGTTTTCAAATTTGAAATAATATTCATATTTTGTTGCCCCGCTTTATATATACAAATTTTAGGCTCAACGGAAGTTCGCTTTTGTTTTATCAGTTGTTTCGATTTTTGCGAGTGCGAAAATTGGCAATAGACCCTCATCAAATTGTTGACTAACTTTTTGAAGATTGTTTAGTTAACGATTAAATAAATTTGATGGTCTATAACTCACAGATGTTGCAATAATAACAAAATTGAAAGTCAAAATTAATAGGAGTAAAGTAAATAAATAATACAAAAATGTATTACGCATTTTGTTCTTATCTTATTCAACTTTATATATTATTTTCAAATGTGTTGTCAAAGTTTTCAGAACAATCAAATTTGATTAAATTTTTAGAACAATGAGCATTTAAATCAATTAAACTATTTATTCTTGCAAATGCAAAGAAATTCCTTACTGTTTTCCAAAGAAAAAATGTAACAGTAAAATAAGTAGTTTTAAAATAAAAAAATTTAATAAAGTTAAGTAAAATAAAAAGGCAGTAGCTCTTAAATAAAATGTTTTCTTTATTCTCAAGATTTTATTCGTTAATATGCCTACATTTTACAACACTGTTTGCCGTTAACAATGAACTATTTCAGGCAGTGTGGCAGAGCCGTCAAAAACCACATGGCAACCCTAGACGAGCCAGTGCGAATAGGTATAGAAAGAAGAACAAGAACAGGGCAACGCAATGGCAATTCCTCTTTCTCCGGTCGTTCGTGGGCATTTTGCGAGAAAACTTTTCGCCGCATTTAAAAACGGACGCAGCGAAGCATGCAAACGGCATATTGATTGGATTTAAGGTAAAAAAACGCACCACCAACTCTTGGTTGCCCATAGACCTATTTAACCTCAAAATGACACCGCTAACCTCGGCGTAAAATTAAAATAAAATAATCCAAATTGCCGTCTGTGCAAGAATTTCGGGCGTGTGATGTGTGATGTAATCGCATGGCCGCAATGGCGATTGCTGTCAGTTCGACATTTGTTGTAAAAATCAATTGGCAAGCACTTTGTTTACGTTTATGCCGAGCTTGCGGTCTGGAATATAAATAAAAACGCCGACTTAACCTCATTTATGGTCCAAATTGGTGTTTATAAGTTGGAATATTTTGCAAGTAAAAAAGCTTGACACGAACAAAGCGCAAATCAAGGGCGAGTACCGTAAGTAAGAGCGAGACGACCATTGAACGCGGCGCTTGGAAGTCATTGATGTGCTTTTTACTAGCCAAAAAGCAAGATGAATAGCAGATTTAAAATTTTAAAATGGTTGTTCGTATTTGCAAAATAATAATAGGTACAAAGTTATGTTCCAATACTTTGATTTTTCTATAGAGAATTAATTTTGGTACTAATTAATGCTAGAAGGAATTAATTAGAATTAAATAATCGTTCCGTATAAACTGAAGTGGTACTTATTAAGTCTTCTGCGCTACTGATTTGGCTGCACTGTTGGAATCCATAATTGTGTTGCCACTCCACCAAAATTTCCAAACTATTCTATAACTCGCAAGTAAATGCAAAAACTATGTTTTATAAAGTAACTTTACTTTTACTTTTTTATCTTGTTACTATCCTGCCTGGGTAGGTAGGGTTTTATTAATAAAATATTTGAATTACGCCGACCCAACATCTGGCAACGCTGTAGTCGCTCTTTCCCTCCCACTGTATTCGGTCTTCATGAGCACATGTGCAACCATTTGTTGCTCCAGATTTTTTGTTGCATCCCATTTGTTTATATGTGCAGCTGACCTATAAAACTGCATATTTTGCAGGGCTAGCGCGTTATGAACAACCAGCGATATGGCGGAATCCAGTGGATACAGCACCACGTCTCCGCGGGCGACACCTCAGAGGTGGACATCTTGGAGTCGGATGGCGGAGGCGGGAATACAGGAGAGGATCTGGATCATATGGCGGCTGAGAATTTAATTTTTATGGCTCGCGACGGCCAGCTGAGCGAGATAATGGCGGCCAATGAGTCGGGCGGAACGGTCTTGGTCACCGCCGATGGAACAACTGTGGCTTATGAGGAATCTTTCGACGATGACGCCCAAGTGGTCACCGAGGAGGTTATTACAGACGACTGGGTGCAGCATCAGGGAGCCGAACGGTAAGTTGAATCGTCTTCTTCCTTTCCAAAGGTACCATTATCGATTTGTTTTCTCGTTATGCAGTGTGGAGATTGCCGCTGAGCAAATAGCTGGAATAAGCAGCTCACAGGAACTTCTGGACATGGAACAGGATGAATACACCGCTCTCAGGCCGTATCCCTGCGACTTCTGTAGTAGACGCTTTCGGAAGAAGGCCACCTTGAATAATCACATGCTGGCCCACCAAAACGATAGACCGCATCTCTGCAAACTGTGTGGAGCTCGATTCTCAAGACGGGCGGAGCTAATTAGCCACTTCAAGGCCCACGCCGAGGCCCAGGATGCAGCGGATGCAGAGGCAGCAGCTGCCGCTGCTGATTCCTCCTCCGCCATTAAGTTTGAGCACCAGTCGCAGCGGCAGTTGGACTACGAGCATGATTGGCCAATCTATCAACAGCAACAGGAACCAGATCAGGTGCAACAGGAGATACAGGAACACCACCATATTGCGGAAGAGGGTGAAGTTCAGTTGGTGGCCAGCTACCCGGCCCCTGTTGCTCCACCGCCAGCTCCTTCACGAGGTAGAATTAGTCGTCTAAAGCCCAAGGAGGAGAGCAGCCAGTTCATCGTGATTTCTGATAAGTCGGGGCAAAGCGAGTTGAGGCAGTACATGGATACTGAGCCAGCTCAGGCCTGTGGTCACCACGTCACAGCCCATCGCCGTTGAACCTCCTCCCCAACCAAACTTCCCAGTGCTTGACGACAGCAAACCCTTTGTGTGCCAGCAGTGCGGATTAGCGTTTGCGCGGGAAAAGGCACTCGTCTCACACACGAAGGTAAATGATACTGTTAGGCAACCAGGACTTGTCCTTAAAATATATCATATCTTTACCTGAAACCTGATAAACCAGTTTATAGCCAAAAGTATGAATTAATTATTTCTTTTAATTCTTCTAGAACCACCGAGTGGACTCGCCTTTCGAGTGTAACCAGTGTCAGGAAATGTTTTGGGACAACAGCAGTCTTCAAGAACACCAGAAGACGCACCAGTTCGAGGAGAGTAATTCGGAGTACGATCCTGCCTCGGCTGAAGATTCCGCCAGCGAATCTGAACCCGAGGAGCAGTTATATGGCGAATTCTATTGCAACGAATGCGGGATATCTTTCCATCGACAGGATCTGCTGCGACGCCATGCCAAACTTCACTACAAGCAAACGGATACGGCCGCCGTAGAAAACAATTCCGATGTCACTGCTGGCGGAGATGTGGAGCTTGCCAAAGATTCTACCGGCCACTGTTGCAACACATGCGGAAAGTCATTTCCCAGCGCGTTGGAGATGTTGGCTCATGCCGAAATCCACGCTCGGTTCCCGCCCTTTAAGTGAGTGTGATTAAGAATTACTTTGCAGATGATTCAGAATTTGATTTGTTAATTCCTATTTATTCTTTTAACTGCAAAATTCTAATCATGTTTAATTTTTCAGGTGCGTCCTATGTGGTATCAGCTTTTACGAAGAGCAGGCCATTAAGCGGCACCTGCACACCCGCCATCCAAGTGAATTGAAAGCTAACTCCTGCGTGTTATGCGGCAAGGAGTGCCGCGATCGAAAGGCCCTGATTAAGCACGCCTGGGATCATTCACGGGAAAAGTGTCATTCGTGCTCTAAGTGCGGCAAGAACTTCCACAATAAGGCGCGCCTAAAGCGGCACATGGCATCACATCGCGACAAGTCGGTAGTGTGCGAGGTGTGCCAGGAAGAATTTCCCGATGGGCGAACGCTCTCCAACCATAGGCACTCGCACAGCACCACATCTCCGGGTAAGCTTTTTCCGTGCCACGAGTGCGGAAAGACTTTTGGCTCGCGTAGCTCTCAGCAGATTCATGTTCGTATTCATACTGGCGAGCGGCCATATGGGTGCCGGTATTGCTGGAAGGCTTTCGCAGACGGCGGCACACTGCGAAAGCATGAGCGCATCCACACGGGCGAGAAGCCGTACGCATGTTCCGTTTGCCCGCGAGCCTTTAATCAGCGGGTGGTGCTACGAGAACACATCCGCTCCCATCATTCTGGGTTGGATGTAGCACGGAATACGTACCATTGCACGGTCTGCTCCGAGGATTTGGCATCGTCCAACGACCTTATCCAACACCTTATTCAACACAGTGACTCAAACACCGCCAAACAGCGACAACCCATTGTAAGTCAAATTCCATATTTTATATTCTACAATTTATAGAATATTCTTTGATTTAGACTGGTCCACGCAAGTACAAGCGCCGTCGCAAACTGCAGCCGCACGAGATCGCTCACATGCGAGCCGAGCACAAAGGCGCCGACGGCGAAGAGGAAGAGGCCGCAGATGGGGGTGAAGCCGAGGAGTATGCCAGTGACATCGACCTTTGCGACTTTGATGTAGAGAACGTAGACGATATATTTGACATGGCAGATTCACCCAAAAAGGAGAAGCGAAAAAGAGGATCGGCAGCGCCAAAGCCTGATAACAAACCCGTTACCAATGGAAAAACAGTGAAGCCTGCCCAAGACAAGTATAAGGGTAAGACCCGTTACGACTCCACCAGCAGCCAACATTCGGATCGGATCTGGGAAGAAAAGTTCCTGCAAGACAGCCAAGTTGCTTTATTTCAAATCGATTCGCTGGTAGTGGTCAACGATACTCATCTGCAGCCCGCTAGCTCCTCCTTGACAGCAACCATACCCAATACAAGAAACAGCAGCAGGCATCAGGGAAAAGTTCAGACAAAGCCTGTAGAACAGGCTGGAAATTTTGAATACCTCTGCAACTACTTCCGTTACGACATCCTCGGCATCCACTTTTAATAGTCGGAGCAGGAAGAAGGCAGGAAACACAAAGACTGCCAGCAAAGCTTCACCTGTCAGCAATTCGCGACCGAAAATGATTCACACGGAGAAGGCTAAGGTTCCCAGGGGAACGAGCTCAGAATATTCCAGCAGTGCGGCAAAGAAAACGCGCTCGAAGACCTATATCAATCGCACGGAGACTAGTAATCTGGGCCTGGACAAATCTCGCAACAGTGCCTCAAACATGGTGGATGACTACGAGATCATTTCGCCAGCCACCCATCCACCGAATCAAATCAGCTCTAGCCCTTTGCACATCAAACAGGAACAGGAGCAACAGCAGCGTGTCCAACTGATTTATGATGACAATCTCCTAATAGACGCTGGTCTTCTTCGGGAGAAATACGAGAAATACAACCAGCCGATTGTTAATGATCTTGAGGAGATTCTGCGATCTCCATTAAAGCACGAGAGAAATTCTCGACTGCGATTCACTAGCGAATCGTCAACCACGCCACAGTTTATCCACGAAGAAGAACAAAATTTAATCAAGATCGAGCCCACGTCACCAGATTTGCGAGATATGGTAGAGAGCCAGCAAAGAGTCACAGCTCATAGTGGAAGCACGCCTTCGTCTTCTTCTGCGAGAACTTCCAGACATCTCCGACAGATCACAGCCAATGGTACACGGGCAGGAAGCAAGAGATCTGCTGGAAGCATCGCCAGCAAATCCTCACCAGTCTCGCAGGTATTGCCGAAAAAGGCTAACACTGCCTCAAAGGTCAACAACAGTTCATCTTCGTACCTCAGTTACGGAGTGGATTCCTACAATGTGAACGTACCTGCCAGCGCCAATAATGCCGATGTGGGCAGCGGATTCTTTTCCATTTCGGAAGTGGTCTCTGCAGCTGATGCCGCAGATGCGGCAGCCAAGGCGGCGGCAGCTGGTAAATCAGAGCGGAAAACTCGTAGCTTTGAATGCGAAATGTGCTCGGCTATTTTCTATGATCGCGCCCAACTGCTGGAACATGTCCATATCCACATTTAGATGGAAGCTACCTAAACCACTCGCCCGAAGCCTTGTATTTTTGAAACAGCTTATCCTAATATACAAACAATATTCGGAGTAAATTACCTCATGGTATCGTGCATCGAAAAATATCGTTGATTTATGCGTTATTTAAAAATTGAACATAAACATAATTTGTAAAGAGCATAGTTCGTAAGGCTTTTAAGTTTGTACCTCAGCTTTTGTTTTGAAGAATTGGTATGCTGGAATAAATACATCATTAAATGGTTTTTCATTGCCTTAAATTGTCTTGTCAAAGATCTAAACTGAGATTGGCAGTTGTTATAAACTTTACTGATAAGATGTTTTGATGTAACATTTGTTATTACTCGACATCGGTTTCTGGAAATCTTGCAATTGTTATTGCTGAATAGTTTTTCCAGGAAAATAGTGTTCGGAAAATAGTACGAAAAACCAAATAATTGCAACTAAGGCAATTTGTAATGTTATTCTTGTTATTTAGAAATAATTTGTTATGTGGCTTTCACTAAAGAACTAATAGGGTGTCAAATCATATCGGCCGACCTTTATATGACATGCTCCTAGCAACACTAAAAAGAAGTGATTCCCCGCAAACCAGATGTTTGTGTTTGCTTTGAAGCCATGATTAAAACAAGAGGAAACGCTATAGTCGAGTGCCGCGACTATAAGATACCCGTTACTGTTTTACACAATTTTAAAATATTAATTTTGCTAGTGGAAATTCACAAGGCGCCACCTATTGTCAGAGGAAGTATGTTGAGTATGCTTATAGTGACGTCACTTCCCATGTGAGGCCTTATAACCTTAATTTTTTCATAAATAGCGCAATAATGTTCCGATTTGAAAAAACCTTTGGTAAATCGATAGATATTAACAGAAATAAGTTATACAAGGTCAAACAAAGGCATTCATAATAATATTATAGACGCCACAGTTTTCCGCGGTTTGTAGGCGTTAGAGTGGGCGTGGCCTAATGCAACTTCGTGGCAAGTTGCAGAGGCATCTACTAAATATGTGTTTCTAAGCAAAATTGTGTAGCTCTTATAGTTTTTGAGATTTTTGCATTTTTGGTTTTTCGGATTTTGTGGGCGTTAGAGTGGGCGTGGCTTGATCGGAAAAAACAATTCGCATTGGGAGCATCATAGAAACCTACATGCTTAATCCGAACTTTCTATTACGAATAGTTACCGAGATATCAGCTTTTCTAGAAAATCCGAAAACCGTCTTTTGAGCCTTGTGGGCGTATGGGTGGGTGAGGCCGGATAGTAGTACTACTATAAGATGCGCTGTCATCTAAAGATTATACTTTCTGAATTTCAACTTTCTAACTGCAATAGTTCCTATGATTTCAGTAATTTTAGTTTTTTCCGATTTGTGGGCGTTAGAGTGGGCGTGGCAGGATGCTGTAATAAACTTGCGCTGTCCCGGGACCTCAAGAATCTTCATGCTTAATCTCAACTTTGTATCTGCTATAGTTCCTGAGATCTCAGCGTTCATACGGACGGACGGACGGACGGACGGACGGACGGACGGACGGACGGACGGACGGACGGACAGACGGACATGGCTCAATCGACTTCGCTATTGATCCTGATCAAGAATATATATACTTTATAGGGTCGCAAAAGCTTCCTTCTATTTGTATATGAGTAAAACTCTTTATAGAGAGTCGAGTGTGGTTTGTTTTGCGGCTTATTGGCACAGCTTTTCAATTAAAACCTCAACTGCTACAAATCTAAAAATTTAAAAGAGTTATCAGATACAGTAAAGTGACCTTTTCTATATCTTATGAATCAATTAATTAACTCCTATGGATCAATTGACCCCAAATAGAATATTTTAATGCGGTTTTGTTTGCTTTTAATTTAGCATACAGACATTTATGAAGTATATATTGTAAGTTGATGCTAATTTCAGCGTAGGGATTTTGAATAAAACTATAAATATTTATATAAGTGATGCCGAAAACAACTCGACTTTTTGCTACCCTTACTAACATTCTAGGAATTATTCGCTATTTCAGCTTGCAAGTAAAATCGTTATCATTTAATAATAATAAATTAATAGGAAGGAATGAGTACTGATTGTAGTCATATAATATTTAAAATTCTAACACAAAGCCAACCCAAAATACCCCTGATAGCATATGTCTATTGTATTTTTCCATTATCGATCTCCCACGGAGATGACAGGTAAAAATGGACCACATCAGCCAGCTGCTCATCAGTTCTCTCTCAATCGTCGAGCAAGCAACATGAACGGAATTACATCGCTGTGTATTTTGGGTCTGGCTCTGATGAGCTTGGCTGCCTTTGTTTCAGCTGATGAAGCTCCGGTTGTCGGAGGTGTCAGTCAGTTGGATGGAGAAAGCAGAAAGGAGGCTCTTAAACTTTTGGATGATACCCTGGCACAGCTGGCCACTGGAGATGGACCGAGCTACAAGTAAGCTAAAATAAATTTGTATTTCATGAATGTATGACCAATTTCTCTAACTCATTTCTTTATTAAATTAGAGCCATCAACGTGACCTCAGTTACGACTCAAGTAGTGGCTGGAACTCTCAACACTTACGATTTGGAGCTGGATAATGGAACCGAAAAGAAGAAGTGCACTGTAAAAATCTGGACTCAGCCCTGGGTAAAGAAGAACGGCACTAACATAAAGATCAAGTGCGAAGGTGACGATGGCGAGTTGGACCGCACTTGGTAAAAGGGACTTTCTTTAATATTAGAGCAACGATAACTTTTATTCCTCTGAAAAATGTGTAATTTTCTTTGCTTTGATAAAAATAAAGAAAGCTTATGGCTTCTAATTGATTTAAAAAAAGTTTTTATTATTATGAATTGTAAGTATTTGAATTATGACATCATATAAGCAGAACAATTATTAATCGTTAAGATTGTTGAAAAGATTATGCAAAATTTGGTTTATTAAATTTCCGTGTAAGTGATTTTTAATAATAATAATAATGTATTACTCACATTCTCTTTGTGATAACTGACATATAAAGCTTTCATTCCAACGAAAGCTTTACTAGTTGCCTCACAATACCCGAGAGAGAATCATGAACGAAGTGAACTCATGTTATTTGTTGGGTTTGGTTCTGCTCAGTATTGTTTCCATAGCCATGTCCAACGAAACAGTTGTAGGAGGGATCAAACAGCTGGAGGGCAATGAGAGAAAAGAGGCTCTGGAGCTTCTCAATGCCACCCTCGCCCAGTTGGCCACTGGAGATGGGCCCAGCTATAAGTAAGTTATAAATTATATCTTCTAAACGGTAATTTTCCACACTTTATTGTCTTTCTCGATTTTAGAGTAATTAAAGTGACCTCCGTGACGGGCCAGGTGGTGGCTGGATCTCTTCATGTGTACGAGGTGGAGCTGGATAATGGATCGGACAAAAAACAGTGCACTGTAAAAATCTGGAGTCAGCCATGGCTAAAGGAGAATGGAACTAATATTAGGATCAAGTGCGCCGGTGAAGACGGCGAACTAAATCGTACTTGGTAAAAAGGAACCCATTCTTATAGAATAACTATGAAAATATTTTAAAATGTTAAGCATGTAATACTGCTTAAAGCATATTATTAAATATATATTTGATTCTAATGTATTTCTACGAAATGCTTAAATGATAATCACCTAATGTATAGGTTTGTACCTGTTTATGACAATTTACCTGTAAAGGTAAATGCTACCTACCTTACTCTAGTATATACACCAAACCAAACAGATAACGAGCCGGTTCTTTCGGAAACCATAAAATAGGTTGAAAAACACCCCTAATTCCCGATTTATTTGTTAACCAGATCGCAAGGCAAAACCAGTTTGTTTCTACATCTAAAATAGTCAAATGAATTCTCATTCTCTCTCAACTATTGTGTGAATTTAATTAGTCAACGTCGACATCATCAGATGGGTCATCGATGGTTACTATATCACTATTATAACACTTTGTGTATGGTTGCTCTATACAACTAATATTTAATTTGATTTGTTACGTTAGTTTGTAAACTTATCAGATATATAAAGTTCCACAATGGTTATTGATAAGGCACGATATTAGTAATGTATGTGCATATATACAGCTAACGTAAACGTACTTTACAGTGGGGAAGTCCAACCACTAAAACCTCCAGGAAAGAATTGGTAAATAATTTATTATTTACCTTCAATTAACAAAGGTTACGGCTCGATTATAGTAGCATTATTAGATTTGGTATGATCTCATTTTCCTACTGTATTTGTTAAGGCTCAAAAGATAAAATGGAATTGAAATTCCACAGTATCAGTCCTTATATTTAGACAATGAAATAAACTTCAAGCGTTGATCGAGAGTATAGTAATTTTGCTAAGGGTTTCCTTAAATCGGAACAGCTCATTTCTCAGGGGGCTTTGCCCTTAATAAGTATTACAAAAATCGGAAAGCTCAGAGCTTTAGGTAGATATGATGATGAATAATAAGATCGACTAAAAATAACATGAAGGGTTGAAAATGAAATAATTATGAAATAAAGTGATTTCTTGTGGTTTTGTGAAATATATATGTGTATTCGAATATATCTTTGTTTTCAGTTTTCTGTTATTGTTGACACGTCGACATATCGCCTTAGATAAAGGTTCCCTTACTGATGATGAATCGGTAAATTACAATGACTCCTGACCTGGGCAAACAAATAAAATAAAATCATAAGACCAAAGTCAAGTCCAAAAGCCGAAGTATATGATAGAAGGCAATAAAGTAAAAAGATGCTAAACCAGCGGCTTCATTGTCGTCGAGTTCAGGTTTAAATGCACACTGCCTTCTCTCTGTCTCGAGGGGCCGGTTGGTGCTATGAGTAGTCGCTAATAAATAAAGAATTATTCTCGCGACAATCCGACGATATTGGCTTCCTATAAAAGCTGCGTCTAAGCGCCGTGTTTACTCAGTTTAAAACAAGTGTTTCGAGAAAAATGCAGGCCGTGAGAGTGATCTTTGTTCTGGCTTTGACCCTGACCGGCGCCATCGCGAACGTAAGCTCTAACTGATTTAAATAGTAAATATTTATCTTATAATTAAAATAATAAAAACAGAGATTGCCGCCTGGTGCACCAAAACCCCTGGAGGGAGATGAATTAGTTGAAGCTAAGCAACTATTAGAGACCACGCTCGCCAGACTTGCCACGGGAGATGGTCCCAATTACCAGTAAGTCTTAATGCTTAGTTTTAAGATTTTTGCATTTCTTGAATGTGAGGCAAGCTTATCAGTAAAATATAGCATATAGGAAAAAACATTATGCAACTTGTTAGAACGGAGGAATCGCATTAAGTTTGCGTAAGCATTGTGAGCTTCAGCGAGAGAGGTTTTTGGATAAAATAAAAATATCTAAAAGCTAACAATCAGACATAACATGTTATTTTATAAAAGCATTCAACAAATTATTTAGGAAGGTGCAAAATAGTAAACATTAAAAGTAAATAAACAGTCATAGTGATTTTATAAAGAAAATAATAAGACATTTTATCTGGTTAGTTGTTTATAAAATGTTATTTATTCCAGAGTTGTAAATGTGATTTCTGCCTCTAAGCAATTGGTGGCTGGAAGTCTCCATAAATTCGTAGTCGAGCTATCCAGTGGATCCGACACCAAGGAGTGCACAGTGAAGATCTGGGACAGACCATGGCTGCAGGACAAGGGTGAGGCCACCAATGTCAAGATCCAGTGCCAGGATGAGGCTGAGATCGACAAGACTTGGTAGAGGGGCTTCTTGTTTTGACGTCAAATAATTGTGATTTAATAAAAAGTGTGAACATTTAAACTTGTTATTTAACAAAAAAAAAGACCAGCAAATCTTAAAGATATATATATTTCGGTGAATCCCGTAAAAGGTTTGGTTTATATAATAAACAAACTTTGCCCTGTGATTAAATTCTATTGATTGTGAAGAAACCAGTTTTTAGTGGGAATTAAACGGGAATTATAACGAGTTTGAATAGGTCAAAGGAAAAAAAGGTTTTTGTTTGTAAATCAGGCAAAGGTTTCCCGTTTATATGAATTTAATTTACAGGAGAATCAGTAAATGATAACTATATATATATATATATATATATATAGGAACAATTAGCTTCTACATTTTTGAACAAACCAATCAGTTTCTCCAGAGAAATACTATTTTTTTATAAATTCATTTTTTAATGCTTTTTGAGTAAATCTTTGAAAACAATTATATCGACCTAGCCGGTCCTGTTGTTCTGGTTGTTTCTACGGTTTCTCCTGCGCTGAGCCCGTTGACGACGCTGACGGCGCTGGCGGCGACGCTGATTCCGCTGGCGCCTCTTCCGGCGGTTATTGTTTCTGTTACCGGTGCTAGTGCTGGTGCTGTCGTCACTTCCAGTGGATGGCGGGGTATCGGATGATCCTGCCGCTGGACTTGTGCTATCACCAGTTGAGGGAGATGTGCTGCCTCCAGTCGAAGGAGAAGTGGTTCCATCAGTCGGGGTGGTGCTTCCATTTGTTGGGGTGGTGCTTCCATCAGTTGGGGTGGTGCTTCCATCAGTGGGAGTGGTGCTTCCATCAGTGGGAGTGGTGCTTCCGTCAGTAGGCGTGGTGGTTCCATCGGTGGGAGTGGTGGTCCCATCAGTAGGCGTGGTGGTTCCATCAGTAGGCTCATCGACAGCATTGCTATAGCTGGAAAAGCAAACGACCAAAAGGCCCAGGCCCAAAAGCAAAGTTAGTTGTCCTCATAGTTGCTATCAGTTCAAACGGATGAGTTCGGATGATGATCTCCGGATGGGGCCATTGCTTTTATACTACTTGTACAGTTCACGGTTCTATTGTGAGACCGGTAGACAGCTGGGACAATAAATCGATTGAATAGAAATTTTCATATTGCCAAATTTCGACAGCTGTCAAAATACCACGCGAATATGACAAAGAGCTTTTGAGTATTAACACTGTTCTTTCGTTCTTAATAAAATATTACTTAGTTAAATATAAGCCGCATCAAATCATTCTGATTAGACTGTTTATAGATCTGAAGCGAAAGATGTTTAAGGGAAAGTAAGAAGGCCGATGGTCAAATTTTCGTTGCTTGCTTTTGGGCGCTGTCTTTAAATTTAAATATTATACCGCAATTAAAATTTGTTAGCTTTTATTGCTTATAATGAAGTTTTATCACTTGTCGACATATCAGATAATGATAGATTAGATAAGCTTACTTTATTTATTTTTGAAAGAGTGTAAATAATTTTGAACCTGAAGAAGTCTTATTCTAATTTTTTTAATAATAATAATTTTATTTAACCAATCCTTTATTGCGAATTGTGAGCAAACATTCGCGTGAAAGAATGCACAATTTATAAGATGCAGCTGTTTAAATTTGCAAATAATCTTTGGCTGCCGCAGTCGCGTGGGTTGAAACGCCTATAAAAGCCAATGCCACAAGGCATCTGCAACCCCAAACCAGACTTAACAAGATGAAAGCTGCTACCATTTTATTCTCAACTTGTATCCTGGCTTGTTGCTTTTTAAGAAACAGTGAGGCTGTGACCTGCACCGCTGATGCCACTGTGACAGGATGTATCGATTGCACTAAAAATCCTACAGATGCAGAGTGCGTGGCCGAGGCAGCCGCTGACACAACCACCACAACCACTACAGTGGCACCCACCACCACGGTGGCCGCAACAACCACTGCAGACTCCACAACGGTCGCCAGTACCTCTAGCTCGTCTTCCTCTTCCGGAAAACGGAAGATCGTACGTATCCAATTTGAGATATTCCAATGTCCGTCGCGTCCGAGTCTATCGAAACCGCTCGAGAACCACAACGACCCGCACAACTCTTCGGAATCGCCGTCGCAGAAATAATTCCAGACGTGTCAACGTAAGGAGGGCCAATGGAAATAATGTAATTGTTATCGGGTAAAATTGTGAATTTCAATAACATGATGATGAAAAGAAGAAATTTTAATTTTGATGATGATATTTTCTATTTTTTGGTATTTTTTAAATTTCAAAAATGTCGGCTAAAGTGGGGTACCAAACTTTTATATAGATATATTATGATACTTCTCTTCTAACAAGACAAGAGTACCAGCGTCAACAATGTTGATCGCTTGGTGGAAGAGTTCGGAACTAGCGTCGAATGCATTTCTGATCCCTCCAACTAGGAATGTGTTTTCACAGAAACACCTTTGAAGCCACCCACTTCAAATTGCGGACAATGTATGTTCTGGGATAAAGTCAAGAAAGTATTGCTTGTATTTAAATAGATCATTTTATATAAAGTTAGTCAAGCGGTAAGCCATTTCAGCAAAGCATATTACAGTGCATACTTTCTGGCTGATTTGTATTAAAAAACTTAATTTTTTTTAGGACTAGAATTTAGTAGAAGGAAAGTGCTTTATTTCAGTTCATTTCCCAATGTATTATAGTTGGTAAGTTGCTTTAACTATTCTGTTGTACTGCATCTTATTGTAGGGCATGGCTTCAGACTCTAACGTCATGAATGTACAAAGAGTTCAAAACCGTGCGTTGTCCTAGCAAGTGACCTCCTCATTCTCTCCACTACCCAGATAAACAGGAACTCGAGGGGGTACAACGATCTCACACCTCTCTCCAACCATTTAGCCTTTTCCCTGGCTAACACAAGAATTAGAAGACATCTAAAGCGAAGGCACCTTGCCGATCTCTGGACAAGAGGACGACAGCAGTAACTCAGATTTAGTATTGATCTCTTGTTATCTAGTTATAAATATTTGTTAATTTCCTTCCTGTTATTTAATGTATGTTATTTGTTCAATATTATACTTAACGTATTATAGCCATTAAGTTGGCTGATTGACGTTTAATAAATGTATTTAACTATATTTTATAACAGAAAAATCCAAGCAATATTGATTTATTTAATTCAGTTTTTACAACTTTTTTTAACCATTTTCCTTATTGTTTACAATTTTAACCAACTACCACACGAACGTTTCCACTTCTATTCCTAGAATTGTTGTTCTTGCGTCTTTGGTTGCGGTTGGTGTTGGTAGAGCGCCTCTTGTTGGTCTTGCCACTGCGATTTGCTGGAGCGGGATGTGGTGTTGTTGAGTCGAATGCGACGGGTGACGGAGTAGCGCAGGTTGCTCACGCGCACGATCTTTCGATTTCCGGATGCGGTGCTAGGCGATGTGGTAGTGGTCGATTCGGTGGTCGTGGTGGTGGTCGTGGTTGGTGCCGTAGTAGTTGTGGTGGTTGCAGCGGCTGCTTCGGCCACGCACTCTGCGTCGGTGGGGTTGGTGGTGCAGTTGATGCAGCCAGTGACGGTGGGGTCAGCCGTGCAGGTCACCGCATCGCTGCTCCTCAGGAGACAGGCTGCTAGGACAAAGATTGCGGAGATGATGGTTGCGGCTCTCATATTGCAGTAGTTGATTGGTGATAGTTGATTGATGGTGTTTTCGTATCTTGGAAATACTTTTATAGTGGATCGATCGAGGTCGAGAAGCTCTTCCTACCCAGCGATTATTCGCAAACTTTACGCAGCTGTTTCTAAACTATTTAGATACATTTTCCAGATTGTTTGTCTAGAATTCGCATGACATCGGCTTTGAATGATAGTTTTATATTCAGAAAAAAACGTTCAAAATTCGCAAATCAAAACTGGAAATTATATATTTTATGCGGTACGATTTACGATTTCTTTTCTTTTTGAACATTCTAATTTTTTAAGGAAGAAGGTAATATATTATTATTAATCGCCTTGAACATTAATTATTATTGACTGTGAATCCACAAGTTGATCAATGTTGATTATGAAAAGTTTGACACTAGTAGGTTGAAGGTTGATATTGTCAGTTCAACTAATCTTCTTTTAAAGTTTTTCTTAAAATGTTGTCCATATCGACACATTCACGTCAAGATAGTTATTAAATAATCTAGATAGCTATTTCCTTGAAATGTGCGAGTCATAAAAATACGAAAACACTTTATTCCCCATCCTTTTTAAACGTAACGTGGCCAATATAAGCAGTGGATACTATGGATTTTAATCAGGAATGATTTTTATATATTTTTTAACTCATTATACTTAGCATATAAATAGAAAATTATTATATTATTATATTATTATTATAGGTATTACTATAGTATATTACTAAGAAAAAGCTGCCTTTGGCTATCGACTAACGTTATATATGTATATAAAATATAATGTAAATGACAGCTTAGTGTATTCCGCTACTGATCAGCCGCCAGTTTTTAGCTCTAATATATAAAAGCTTCTCATCTTTTAAATGCAGTATAAAATGTTTATTAATTTTTTTTTTAACAATCGTTAATGGTATAAATTTTTCATCCGGATCGATTTTGACGCCTGCGCCTTTGTGCCCTTCTCCTGGCCGCCCGCCTTCTTGCTGCAGCTCTCCTCCTTTGAGCACGCCTCCTGGCTGCCCTCCTTCGCCTTATGGCTGCCGAGTTATTAGCGCTGGTTCCCGACGGCGAGGAGGAGCCACTGGGAGACGAAGAGTCGCTGTCGGAACTTGTCGGAGCTGGAGTTGATCCACTGGTGGATGAGGCCTCAGTAGTGGATCCCGTAGCAGGTCCTGCGGTAGTGTCTGTTCCTGATGTGGGCGTCGCTGTTGTATCTGTTCCTGTCGTGGGTGCAGCAGTGGTTCCAGCAGCCTCAGCCACACACTCCGTGTCTGTGGGACTGGTCGTGCAGTCGACGCAGTCAGTTGCTGTGGGATCAGCGGTGCATGTCACCGCTTCACTGCTTCTCAAGAGGCAGGCTACCAGGACAAGGAGGCCAGATAATATGATCGATGTTTTTCTCATTTTTTCGATTGATGATGCTTTAGAATATAGGCAACGGTTTATATAGAGCCTCGATGCGTTGGAATTGGAGATTCAAAGAATATTTGCAAATTTACACAAATGGTTATATCAAATAATTATTTATTTACATCCATTGCAAAAATTTGACTTAAAAAGTTGTACAAGAAGATGGTTGCCGCTTCATTCATTATCTATATTGTTGACTTTTGTTGATCGATGGTGTTGGCAGATGTTAGAATTTTACTAGTTCAATATTTATGTACGCTCTACAAATTAATGTCAAATTTAACCAGCTGTTTAAATCGAAAATTTTGTTTATTTGTGCAGATTGTTTGCTGATAATTTACCCTGATCAGCTTGGTTATTAGAGCACCTGTGTGTTGTTTATACAGTAATTAATTTAGTAATTTTTAAATAATAAACTGCTCAAAAAAGTTAGTTTTACTTATTCTATACACAAAATTTGGTCTGAAAAAACTCATAACGGAGAGAGGTTCACAAATTTCAGTAAAAAAAGTTAATAGAAAATTGCTAGCTTCGCGTGTGAGATTTATCAGCTTTTATGACTCCCCAATTGTTTGCAAATGTATACATTTTTGTATTTTATAATTATCATGACGTCACATTTTACACCGAAGCGAAGCGAGAACAATGAGCGAGAATATTTTATATTCATATTTCGCAATTATATTGCGATCCGCTGACCAACTCTGATTTTGGAATTAGTTGTTCTTGAGCTGATCAGCGTGCGGTTGTGCTATGGATATATCTAGATATTTGCTGCTGTGTTTTGGAGTTATTTCCATGTCCAATGTTGTGGTGAGTGCTTAATATAAAGTTTTGTTAAGTCAATAATCCTAAAATCATTTACAGTTTACGATCTGTATTCCGCCTGATAACTGCATAGAAGATGTGAGTAGTTTATATCTTTTCTACTTAGGTTAAATATATTCCATTTATGTTAACTCAAATTTTTTAATTTTAAATCCCTCAGATGGAGGACAACGATGCCAAAGAGCGTTTCGAGTACGTACTGGGCAAATACGAGGAGCTGGAAATGAAAATTCCCGGTAAACCAGTTGGGTGAGTTCAACTTTCGTGTGTGTTTGCTGATCCGCTAATTGACTTTTCATTTCCACCCGCCGGCAGTTTGCATGGAAAAGTGGTTACGCATGGCGAGGCGGAGGAGCAGTATTTGGTTTTCCAGTACATGGACAATACGCTGCATGACATCATCCAGACGTGTGCATTTGTGGTCAAGCGGACTCCCGGCGAGTGTGAGAACATTAGTACATATTGCTCGGCTTTTCTGAGCCGCCTGCCACGACCCTTGCTAGAGCGAAAACCCATTGCCGTTTGCGATGATGGGGTACGGGTGGCGGAGGAGGAACCAGAAACGGAAGCGGAAGACAATCCGGATGCAGATGCTCAGGCGGATGCAGATCCGCAGCAGGAGCAGGGAAATGGTCAGCCGGAGACCACAACACCGGAGCCGGCCAACTCCAAGTTGAGTGAGTTTTACTAACGAGAATGGATTATCCCGCATCTGCATTTGACTTAAAACAAACAATTTAAATTAAGTGCACAAAGTGGTTGAGATTATTTGGCTTAGCACATAATTGGTTTTTATGTTAAGTTTTTATTCAGCAGATTTGGAGTTTTTATAAGTTGTAGATTTCCTGCACAGTTTTTATTTATTTATTGATTTTATTTTTCTTTATTAAGTATTTAAATGTCTTATGGCTTAAGATAATATTGTAAATGATTCTTACCTTCGACTAATCTGAAAAACTTTTCAAACTTTTAATAAATAACAAGCTAATACTAAAGTTTTAGCAATGCCTAAAAGTAGGCTTCATCCAACTGTCTACTAACATTTCCCCTTGGCTACTCAATGTCACGGCTTCCCAAGATTGAGTTAGGAAGCTCTGACAGCAACAACTATGCGGCTTTTAGTTCAACAACTGACGACCGAAATACTAGACCAGGCCAAGTCCGGCGCCTGCGCCAATACCACAATGTACAGTGGGTAAAATGCAAAAGGTTTACTTGAGATAATTTGAGCTAATTTATTAAAATATTTGTGGATTTCATCAAAGAAAGAGAGTAATTATGATGTAATAATTAAGTTTGCATTTGACTTTAGAGTACGATAGAAGGATAGTGTATTTATTTAACTACATTTCTTTTAGCTTCTGTGCTTTGGCATCAGTATTCATTGGAAGAGTTAAAGCACCATGGAAATATTCTTAAGAAAAGAAATGCGGGAAAATCCTAATAACTCCAAGAATACATTTAAAAATAAGTTGTTTGTTATTCAAGCTTATTTCATTAATTATCATAAATTCTTTTTAACTTTATCCACTGTAGGGCACACAAATGCGTGAGCAAACTCTCTTTCCGGAAGAAAGAGAGAGCGAGTGAGAGTGGCTTGCGCCAAATAACAGTAAACAAAGCCCAGCTGCTTCTGCTGGCGGTATAATTTCAGTTTTCAGTTGTTAACGGGTCGCCAAGGCGAACTGGAGCAGCGAAAACGAAGCGCCGGAGCTGGGAACAAAAGCTCCAAAACGGTGCAGACCACCCATTAGAGAAAGAGCGAGATAGCGAGACCGAGAAAGAGAGACATAACGGAGGCAGAGCAAAGGAGAGAGTGTCAAACATTAGAGAGAGAGCACCTCTTATAGAGAGAGTCCCCCACGAGACAGATTGTTATTTGGCGACAGTGACAGTTGAGTCCCGCACAGAATTATCTGCTCAGTGCTAAAGTTGTACTCGTGCTGCGTAGCTCGTGTGGGCAAGGCCGTTTCTCGACACGCCCACCGCCCAACGCCCCCGCGCGTCCCCTGCCACGCCCCCTACAGCTGGGCAGAAGCAGCAGCTGCTTTTTAGTAGTAGTGAAGTGCGTGCGCGTCGTTTCGCGGCAAACGGAATCACCGCCGGTTGTAAAAAAGAAAACGGTATAGGATAAAAACGTTAATAAATTTTCGTAAATCAATCCTATACATAGAGTACATAAATCAAAGGGCGAACTAAAGTTTAAACAACTCGTAAATATACTATTTACTTTTTCGTGCAATTCCCTAATCCAAGTAGCAGCCCACCCCCTTTTATCAACGAAGCGCCAGTCAAGCAGCCCGTGTTATCAGCAAACGAAACGCGACAAAAACACAACAAATAAATATATATTATTAAAAAAAAACAAAAATGAAAAGAAAAATGCATTTGAATGCGTGAGTGTGTGTTTAGGTGAGTATTAGCCATGCGATTGTGTGTTTGTTTGAGGGCCTCCGGCTCAGCTGAGTGCTGAGTAAACAAACAAAAACCAACCGAAGCCAAACACAGACCCCAGCACAAATACCAGCACAAATACCAACACCATTACCACCATCTATGTAAGCACCCCCTCACCAATACACTCGCACGCAATTATTAGCGTTCCCCAAATCCCCCAGAAATGTGCGAATTATGAAATATTTTACCCTTGAATGTCGTACGTATTAGAATTAGCGGCGGGGAGGCTTTAGAGCGTTACTTTTTAGCAACTTTTTAATACCCCTATATGTAGCGGGATGTATGGGTATGTCTAGTTTCTGAAAGTGGCATTTGCTTCTATAAAGATTATGAGTTCCTGTAAGAGGTAGTAAACATATTAAAAGAAATTGCCTTTTCGTTTTGAAGAAAAATATGTTTGCCATTTATCAATTTGTAAGAGCTGGCTTAACTCTTGAAAATTTTATTTTGTTAAACTAATAATTATGTGGGTTTTTTGATTAGGTAAAACAAATCTTTAAAATGGAATTTCCTAATAAGACATATGAATATTCTGCAGCAAAGGCTTATTTACTTGTACCCCGTTGCTACGCTAATAAATAATAAATACTACATTGTAATTTAGCCATCACATTTTCCTATATTTTAGCCAAAAATTGGTGCTTTTTACATATATGAGTTTTACTATGTCATAAATTACAATGAGACATGGTAGAAAACCATTGCAGCAATTCAAGTTTATCTACCATTTGTATAAAATTATATCAACATTAAAATTTCGAAAAATTCTTGGCACTCAATTTACATTATTTATTTAGTAAAAGATTTAATGGTAGCCTCTGCAATTTACAGAATTTTAAGCAAAGTAAATGTTGCTAACTAATACATATTACAAAGGTATTTTGATTTTTTCTAGTGTAGCCAAGAGGGCATTCAAGTAAATAATGCATTTTCTAACGGATATATTAAAGTCGGTAGACTTGAAAATAGAACTTAGGCAGTTTTTTTTTTTGGATCACCCTGTGGGGGAATCACGAGCAACAACCCAGCATGGCCCCAAAAAACTTTCCTGTGACGTGCGATGCCCAAAGCAAATTATTCGAGAGCTACTTCAACGCATTTTGGCACTTTTCTTCTGGCGCGCGTAATTTTCTTCTCTGCCGCCCTTTTGGAGACCCGCCAAAGTGTCTGTGAAATCCATTAAGTTTTGTTTTCGTTTTTTATGAACAACATTGACTTTGTCAACGGTTCGTTCGCCATCATCGTCATCTCCCTGGAACCGCTACCCCCATGGCCTGCCCTACCTCTGCCCCCTAACCTCACGCACTTTTTCAAAGAGCAACTGTCTGAGCAAGTCTTTTATTTTATTTTAATGCCCTCACTTTTGGCCACTCCTTGGCAGCTTCCCTTTAGAGGATTTTTTTACAAAAATGTTGTCAAATTTATTGACTCACTTGCGTCTTTGTATTATCCGGCTTTATCCGTCTGCTGTTGTTTCTTTGTTGTTGTCACTCCGACGGACGTGACAAGTTATTTCAAATTGAACAGGAGCTGTAAGGGTCATAAACTCAACGTTTTGACAACTTTCAAGAACTCCAATTACGTTAATTATTAGTCTGGCATAGTAATATGAGGGTGCTATCTTTCTAGATTGTTAACAAACTATTTCGGTTGTCTTGCTTTTAACCATTTATGAAAATGTCACAGTAAAAACTTCTATTGTGGTGAATAGAAAGTTACATTTATCAATTATAGCTTTACACTTGGAAAACAAATTATATGTTAATATCTTAGAGGTGTTCGTAGATAAAAGTGTATACACTTTTAGGGCTTATGTAAGTATAATATATTTCTCCCTGATATACCACTTTACGTTCCATATCCACTTATTTAGCAATTGTTTTTGGGTAACCCTCACCTCCAATAAAGATCTGTATTAGCTAAATGCTCGAGGAGGATGCAAAGTAAATGGAGGAGGCGGTTAAAAGCTTTCAAAGTGCCGCACCGCACCTGTCTTTAGTGAGCCGCTTTCAATCTCGTGGGATTCCTCTTGTTTTGTTTTTTTTTTTGTTTATGTTTGGGCTTTCCGTGTGTAATGCGGATAAGGTTAAGGTCGCGCGAATTTATAGTATATGGAGTCCCGATTTTCGTGGCGTCCGCTTATAAATAGTCCCCGTTCTCGGCGATTACCCTTCGCATGCAATTTTCCCCGGTATTTGTTTGCCCATCTCTATCACTTCACTCTCTCCCTTTCTTCCATTCTTTGTATTTTGCTTCTTTAGGGCCCGGCACGTGCCTTTTACTTGACGGGGAAATGTGCTGAATTTTCGCCAGAAAATCCAAGGCCCAACTTCGCTCTCGGCCATGTTTATGGCGTCTGCCGCTGACTGACGTTCATTGGCTTTTGTGCGGATATTTGTTTTTGTTATTATTCCGCCATTCTAGGCCGCCCATGTCGTCCTACGTCCTTCGTCCTTCATCATTGGCCATAAAACGGTGTCTCCGAGCACATTTCGCTGGTCGCGTCGGCATCTGCGGCTGTGTTTTTTTCGCCTTGCCTCCAGTATTCTCCTCAGGATTCAGGACTCTCTATCCTTCCTCCATTTTTACAAGTTTATTTTGTTCCCTCAAATTCTCGGGCATTCTTTGCATTTCATCCTGCTGTTTGTTATCGCTCTGGGACCTCCTTTTCCTTTTTCGCTGTCAAGTCTCTTCCTTCCCTCCTTTTCCAACTTCATTTAATCAGCAATTCATTTATTTAAACGCCTTGGACAAAATCATTTTTGTTTATTGATCGAAAGACAGAGACAGAGAGAAAGAGAGAATGAAAAGGATATGACTGATGGAGTCGGAAAAATTTAAGGACAAAGAGCCCGTTGCACACACACTAACTCGATTTGTTGCCTTCAAAATTAGAACTAAATTAGTTATAAATCCAAGTCTACTTAATTACATTTGACCTCCACTTTGCGCAATTTATGTTCTGTCTAATTAAGAGAACTTTTGCCATCTGAAAAAATATGTATTCTACATTTTTTTGAATGGCCTATTTACAATTTTAAATTAATTACATACCAAAACGTTGGCCATTAATATTACTTAATGTGGAAATTTTACTTGTCCTTTCATATTCGGAATAATAATTCTGATTTATTAATTATTCTATTCATGGGAATTGGCCTTTTCTAAAAGTTTTGTTCAATAGTTTGCAGGGACCTTAATTTAAAAATAGGTTTCATAAATTTCGTTTAGTTAATGAAAGGCTTAACCATATTAACTACACATCGAAACTTAAATTTTATGCCAACAGAATTTCTTTGAAACTAATTAACTTTTTTCCATTTTCCTTGCAGAAAGAAAACTAAAGACTTTACTCACTCAACAAGATATTGGTAAGTCACGTTACGTATACGCAACGTCACTGTTTAAAATCGCTTACAAAGTACGTAAACAAACTTGCGAGTACGAAAAACGGAAGATGGAGTTCGATCTATTAATAGTTGCCCCAAAGGATTGTTGCAAACTTCTTCCTTGCAGCAGACACTATCGAAGACGGATGACACGGGCACGCCCCCAATCGCTTTACCTACTTTTTGTTTTTTTTTCCTTTGAAGGCTGAGCAACCGATTTCGTTGCAGCTGTCGTCGGACTTTTAGCTGCTGTTTCTAGGAAAAGAAACCACAGCGGCGAGGAAAAAACAACAACCTTTATAGAACGAAATCGGGGCGGGTAGAAAACTTCGCCGTTATCCGTTTTGTGCGGCGCTTATCCGTCTTAGCCATTTTGAGTCGCGATTCAGCCGCCACTTGGCGATATTTTTCGCAAAGTTTTGGCCACGTTTACATGGTTTCCTCCTACCAATTCCTTGGACGTTGTGGCTTTTTGCCGGAAATAACACACGAGTGCGGCCGAGATAAAGGGTGCATGTGTGGGTGTGTGTATGTTAGCCAAATTCTCTTTTTGCCAGCTCCCATGGCGAAAATTATTGTCTGAGGTTGTGTCGCTGTTCCAACCATCGCATAAATTTGACTGTCCCACATGTCCTGCGATTCCAATTTTTTGTCCCCTATTTTTCCCCCTTTTTTTCACTGTGCCCTCGCATATCCTGTTACCGCGCTTTGTAGGGTTTTTCCTTTTGTTTTTCCTTCTATTGTTCGGTCCCTGCTCTTTAGTTTCTTCCAAGCGTTTATTTGCTCTATTTTTAGACCTCAACACTTTTATTTTGGTTGATATTTTTGTGCTCGGTATATTTGTTGTGCAAAAATAAAAAAGTTGACTGTGTTGTTTTCTCATCCTCTGGTCGGTCTGCGGGCCAAAACCGAATTGTTTACAAATGCGAATTCCCAATTAAAAGCTTTCGACTTTGCTTTGCTCTCGACTTCGCTTGTATCGATTATATAATAATAAACCGGCCTAGCCACGTGGCGCCTGAATTTGCCACGTAATTATACTTTCACTGTGGACACAAGTGCCAGTCGCTAGAACTCGTTATGGCCGGAAGGCAATTACAAGTAATTTTAATAACATAGATTACGCATACGCCGCGTGTGCCGCGCGACTGTATCTGAAATGGGTCATGGCAGGCATTTCCAAAACCTAATAAACATTTAATTCAAATATAAAAATTTAAATTACTACCTTGCTAGAATATTAAAAGTATTAATATATCCTTATAGCCATCAATCATTTGTTCTATCTTTGAAACCTTAATGGTTTTCAGATTAACGCCTGAATATTACATTTTATTTATTATTTTTTTGACAGATCAGGTGCAATTGACCGGGAAAGAATTTATCCAGTTTATTTAAAACTCGTTTCTAAAAACTGAGCTCACAATAAAGTTAAAAGAATGACAATTATTTGTCATTTCGTTTGTCGAACTATGAAATTTAAAGTTGTCCAAAATAATTCTCGACATCTTAATAAGTCGGAGTTAAGCCATTGAAATAACAGGTTTTAATTAAAGTGAGTCTTTGGTTAATCTTAGAAACTGTTCACTTTGATGGCAGCCCACACACACACACACTTGTTCAAGCGTCGACTCAATTACTTAACCCGACTTTCGAGGAACCACGTAGCTGGAAAATGGTTAGCCGCGTTTCAAGACACGCCCACACATATAAGGGGGAGAAGTCCTTTTGGGGAAACCAGTGACCGAGCAGCGTCGGCATAATTAAATTATTCCACAACAATTGCCGCTGGAACAAGAGTCGCTCATTGAGTTAATTTGCGACAAGTCGAGGTGGTGATGTCGACGATTTCACTGCCGCTAAAGTTTTATACTGTCCTTTGGTCTGACTGTTGGTCATTTGGGCTGAACTTTTCGCTTTTCGCAGAAAAGGATTAATTAGGATTAAAAGTGTGTCGAGTGGTCGACAAAAGCCCAGAACGGTTAGCCCTCGACTACAAGAGTTGGGCTTAAAAAATGATAAAGAAAGGGAAAACTCGGAAGGAAAATGAAATAAAATAAAAGTGGCTGGATGCTTTCTGGCGGTTGGCGTAATCGTGCGGCATAAATAAAGTCAACCAGTTGGCCAACAACTTCAACTTGGCTGCCTGATGATGATGATGATGATGACGATAATGATGATTTCTCATTTTGTGCATGGCGCATTTAATTAACATAATTCGATTTAATTCTGGATTCCGTGCGCTGCCGGTTTTTGTTTGACTCTTGCATTTAAATGAATTTAACATAAATTACAATTTATTACACAGGCTCGATTAATTCTTGTTGTTCTGAGTTTCTGAGTTTCGTGTTCTTGCCGTGCTTGTGCCCGTGCTTGTTGATCTTGCCAAATTTAATTGAATAACAATTCCGAAATTGGCTTATAAGCCCACCCGCTCAACTCGTTCTCAAAACGCAACTCGTGCCCTAACCCCGACCGAATTCAATTAAAACTAACAACATTTATCGGTTCTGAATGCAATCAGTTTGGTTATCGTGTTAAAGTTCCTCACCTGGCTATATCCGAGTGGCAAGGGTTTGAGTGCATGACAGAGCTCAAATTGAAATCAGTTTTATGGCAATAAATAAATAAGTTAAGCTGTCAAATCCACGTCCAGCTGCCCGTTCCCACTGAAAGTATTGATTCTATCGACGTTTGAAAAACATGGACACAGCCAGACTATCGAGACTATTTTTTTATGAATCAGTCATTTCGCTTCGAATGTCCCAACAATGCGTTGCTAATCTAATGAAATCATTTTCATTTCCATTTCCATTTTGCTGACATTAAAGTCTTGGAAACCCTGAATGGCTGGGGCCAACCCTTTTGCGTTTTCGACCTTTTCCTAGAACTGCCGGCGGACACTATAAACTGCCAGTGATATTAGTTAATGCCCTGCTGCGGTCGTCCATGCGGAATTGTTATTATTTAAATGGCCTATTCATTCCGGTCCCCCGTTTTGTGGTGAATTTTGTGCTGGGTAAATTGGAGGTTTTAGTTTTATTAGATTTGAAATTATACCTGAAATCATGTTTCAAAAAGTTTATTTGACAAGCAGAAATAATTTAAGAAGAATGCTTTTTACAATTTATTTTGTTTGCAGTTCAGAAAAATGTTTAGCTTTATAATTTTTGAGTTAAAATTTTAGGTAACTTACATCTTATCTTAAATTGGTTGCTTACCTGCAAGCAGTAATTTCATTATTTAGTCTTCAGAATAAATTAGTTTTTAGAATTATCAAGATTTTAGGGTATCTAATCCGTTCATCCCCACAAAAACAAGTCAGCATCAACTGCAGAACGCATTTGTTTGGCCAACAAACTGAGTGGAAAAAACTTTTAACTAAAATGGAACCCAAGTACACACAAACATGTTGGCACACATTGAGAAAAGGATAACTGGGTTGGTTGGGAGGTTGTTATACAAAATACGGTGAATCGTAGTAGAAAAGTTGAAAATTGTGAAATGTAAGCAAATTGTAAATGCCAAGAGATGTGAGGATATAATGTCCATATAGAAGGGAAAAGACTACGCATTCAGAGATGCGAAAATTTCCGGTTTTTTAGCCACGGTTCGGGCGAAAGTACACGACTTCCAAGTAAATGCACACGAATGTATGAATATTTTATTTGGCAAATGTAACTAAATACATAAGCCAGGCCTCAGGACATGTCTCTCATCTTCGTTTCATCATCAAATCTGCAAAAGGACATGTGTAAAGTGTCAATGTGGGTGTTCTGTGTGTGTGTGTGGGTGTAAGAGTTGATATGCTTGCGAGCTGCGGTTTTGCAATTGAATACAAGGGGCTGCTTTTCCATGTTGGTCCTTTGCTTCCTTTTGAGGTCTTGAGTCGAGTGGCTCTCCTTGGGTTGCCATAAACGCTTCTCGCTGTTTATGCTAAAAATCTATGCCACATTAGTTCGTTGCCATCCAAAGTCCCAAGTTTGTTGTCGTTCGTTTTGTTTCGAGGGTCATGTTCTGGGCTGCCTCCGTTGTTGCGCTTTTGTTTGGCCCATGTGCTTGGCTTTTTGTGCCGCGGTGAAGAGCGCTTGAGGTTGCCAGCGAGCGAACAGGAAGCCGCCAGTCAGACAGACAGACATTGGGACTGCCAGACACACATTCGGTTAGGCAGACATACAGGGGCAAAATAAAAGAATATACACGCAGAAAAAATTCCTATTTTTGGTTTATTTTGTAGCTAAATTAAGACCTTCTTTATTTTTAAGAAATTTGCTTTTATAAATTTATTTTTAATCACATTTTTATATATTATTTATAAATAATTACTTCTCCATATGATATTTATTTTTAAGTGCAGTCACAGATACGATTTCGTGACTCGGCAAGGCCGCACAAATGGGACAAAAGAGCATCAGCGTAAGCGGCCATAAACAGGCTCCCAACAACATGCAGCAATGTTCATGTAATTATGCGCCCGAGTCCTTCTTGTCAGGACAGCTCATGTTGATGCTTAACTCCGCTCGGGTTTATATCCCTCCATGTTCAGGCAACAGGCCCTGCAGGCTGCAAGTTGCTCTGAGTTGAGTTATTATCTCTGCCCGTTGCGGCCCAAGATGTGTGTGTGGGTGTATTATTTCTAACGCCCGAGTACCTGAAGCAAGATTCCCCACATAACACTAACAGCTTGCTAACTTTGAGCTAATTAATAACCGTAATTAAGTTGACTTAATCTAAATTGCTGTTTTTACATTCTTGCCTTGATAAAATGTCCCACAATGTGCGATTAATGCTGGCTATCAACTTCAACTTCCTTGGCTCACTTAACAGGTCTTAAAAGCCAACTTAAAGCCTCTGTGAAATGCAAATGTTAAAAATGGCGAAGAGAACTAGAGAGACTGGGAGAAGAATGGAAATGCTCTGCAAGCATCATAAATTTTCGATGAGTATTCAAAGCCCTTACGGCAAATCATGGTCATACGACT